TGAGCTTGCACCGGGAAACCCCTACCTTCCTGTGCTGCAGAGCGGAACAAGGCATTACTGACATCCCTAGTATCGACGGTAGAAGTGGCAGAGAATCGGTGCACACTGCCTGGGGTAAAAACCCGAAAGTTATAGACCCTAGGAACTGACAGAGAAGCAGTCAGCACGACGTCCTGCTCGATCCGGGACCAATCATTGCTAAGCCGCAACCTTGAAGCGAGGCGTCCGTGCTCCCACGGTGAGGCCGATCCCAGTTGTGGCAGATCAAGGGTCTCGGGAGCAGACTCACGGCAGACTTCAATGGGCTCAATCTGCGGAAGAAGAGATTCAGGCCCCAAGAAGGTGGCGGAAGCAGATGCAAGCAACAGCAACCCGACAAACCCCTTCCAGCCGGCCGCAAGCATCACGGGCAGAAGGCCTGGGGAGTAGCGGGCCGAACTGGATACACTGTCGATGGGCGTGCGAGTGCTCACCGGAAGACGCTTTCTCAGGACAACCAGTGGGACTGGCACAGGACCTGCGACCGGGGTGTGTGGATCTACTAGGGACTCCCTATGTAGGAACACAAGCCTCCCCATAGCAATGGCAGATTGACAAGAGATATCTGACATTGGTTCACCCGCAAAGGAGACAGCATCGCGGAGTCTCTGGGCAGGAGTATCTCCCGTACGGTATGCCAGCACTACCAGTCGGCCGCCTTTAGGTCTCAAATCGACAAGTCCGGGGAACTCACCCTCCCTGCAGCTCATCGCAACGAATTGTATGGGAGGCAGCTGGTCGAGCGGAGGGAGAATCCTGGCAAAATGACTGAACTCCGGTCCGATAGACTCACCCTCGCCCATAAAGCTGCCCATGACGGAAGAACGGATGGCCAAAGCATCAGCGAAGAGGGGAGCATGCACATAAAACAGCCCAGTGGGGTGTATCACAACTGCATTAGCCCCGCTATTCTGATGGAAGACAGCTTCGACAGAACCGGGCATGGAGAGGCTAGCTGAGAAAATATCTTCCATCGAGAGCCTCGGAGAGATTGTGCCCTGCCGCACAGGGCAGTTGGGACGCGGCACCCTTGCACAGGGCCAGACTTGCATAGCATCTCCCCAGGGCAACAACATGAGGTATGCAGACGGAGCGAACCAACATCCTCCTGCCCTACAGAGACAATCCGCAACCTCAAAGCGGAGGCCCTGTTGTTGCCGGGCAGTGTGAAGCACCGCCTCACCGGTGACACATCGCTCCAGCTCGAGTAGCGAAATAACTCCCTGCATTGGCCTGAGATCGACCGGGATGATGACCCTCCACCAAGCAAGAGCAACCGGCGAGAACACATACTGTTCAGGCGGAAGGGAAGGCAAGTGCTCAACCTGACGGCGGACATGCCAGTCCGACATCTGCAATCCGAACGCAGAGCAAACTTCCCTGTACAGACTCAGAGAGTGCAGCCTGTCATCGACATGCAGGACCGTTGGGTGGGCTTCAGCACCTGGTATAAAGACGGCAATGTCCCTTAAGTGCCGCAACCTGTCAGCCTGCATGGTACTCGGCCAGGGAGATCCCCTAATGCGAGGTGGAACCAGCTCCGAGGCATCCTGCGATGCCGGCACACTGCCTGTGGTGAAGACCGGGTTCCCATTAACTTGATTAACAGGAAGGATCTGCACAGCACGGGTATGGGGTGTGCAGACCATCCACAGCAAGAACAGAGCCTTAACTTGCGACCTCGCCTGCCGAGGAGGCCTTATAGCAGCAACTCTAGGAGAAAAGGCACTTTGCAGGCAGGTCGAGAACCAACCAGAAAGGACAGCCCCAGACAAGCAACCCAGTATGCTGAACTGCGACCTGGCCTTATGTACGCGTTCAACACGAGCCGCACAGTCACAGAACCTGTACTCAAGGAGCTGAACAAGGATCAGCCAGGGGACCAGACAGTACAAAGCAAGGGCCGAAACTATCCCCATCAACCTCAGACAGGAATGATTCAAAACTCCTCGTGCGTGGGGTCTGGAGTTGCCCCTGGTGTAGAGAACGGGCTGACCTGAGACAGAATGGTCTGCACATGAGTGTCTGTAGAGGCTGCTTGCGGTATGAAGCCTTGAAAAGGGCCGCCATGCTCTACCAGCAGTGCAGGGTATAGCCACTCTTGGGCTGTCGCAGGTGCATAACTGAAGGGGTCGAGAACCCCCGCAAAGGTGATGTGCAGGGCGACCACTAGACCTTGACGTGTCGCAGGCAAAAAATGCTGGGACTCAGCCGGAGCCGCTGCAGGAGGTCCTGTAGGTCGCAATACAGGCCTTGCAGGTCGCCATACCTGGGTGTCGACACCACCCTCTGCAGTGCTTCCCATTGCTGGTTGGCTCGTAGAAGAGTGTCGTCGCCGTCTCCCATCTCCGACTGGAGAGGAAGAAGGGCCTCCTGCTCGGGATTGACCACCAGTTCGCCAATGAGAGCATCCCCCTGCTCCACAGCGAATTTCAGGAGAGCCAACCAAGACACCGTCCATGATGGCAGTGGAGGGGGCGAGCCGTGGGCTGGTATCAATTCTGGCTCCTCTTCCACACGGGTTGTCCCGGTCCTGCGCACACCTTCCGGTGTACGCCCGGTGGAAGTGCGAGGCCAGGGCTCTTCGACGTGGAGCTCCCTTCTTGGACTTTTGGAGGGTCGTTCTGGGGCGGCTGGCCCTCTGCGCTTCCAACGACATGGTGCTGTTCGAGTACTTCCTGAAGACAGCGAACTGGCAGGAAGGCCGGAAACCGGCCCAGGAAGATCTGTAGGTCGCAGTGACGCAGGTGAGTCCCCTGCGCAGAAGCTTGGAGGAACAGCTGCCTCGGGCTGGTAGTGGGGTTCTGACGCCTGTGCCGCCCTTGTAGGCGGTTCCACACCACCGAAGCTCCGCATCTCGTTGGTGACGCTCCCGAAGGTCCGTAGTCCATTGGCGAAGCGCAGTACAACTTCTTCTTTGACCGTGGACCAGACCGGTCCAAGTTGCCCTCTTGCTGCCAAGATCTTGTCGTCTGTGGCGGCAGAAGGCATCTCTCGAAGTTGTACTTCGAGCTCTCTGCATGCCTGCTCTAAATCGTCGTCGAGCCGCGTGCTGAGAGCACGTACTCGGTGTACAAGCTGCTCTAGGTGCACTCCAATGGAAGTAGTCCACGAGGCAAGTGCTTCGTTCAAAGCTTGCTTTGCCTTGGCATCTCCGTCGACACGCTTGGAAAGCTTTGCCACCGCGTTGGCGTGGCGCTGTGCCAACTGTTCCGTAGTCGCTTCCCCATCCCCCAGAGAAGGTCCTTTCCACAAGTCGTTGGTTGCACGCGCACTGATTGCCTGTAGCGCCGTGGCCAGAGCCGGCGGATATCCAAACTCGAGCTTCGACGTCGGAATATCGGGCTGTCTCTGAGTTCCCTTCTGCCCTCCTTTGGGCAGTTTCGCTTGTGGCTTGGGGCTCATAGCTGGCACACTGGGCGCACAGCTTCCGTGGTGTTGGTTCAGGAGCCTTTTGTCCAGCCAGGTACCACGTCCCTGGCGCAGCCGGGCCCTGGCTTTCTGCCGAGCTCGACGCTGGCGTCGATGCCAGCTGGGACTTGCTGATCTGGGAATCGCAGACAGGTTCCACACCAATCCAGATTAGGAAGATCCCGAATGCAGCAAGGATGCAGAGAAGAAGGTAAGGCACCACCTTACCAGGCATCAAAACCTCCAACGTAGCAGAGGAGCCGACTGAGTCGGCAGCTTGCTCCCCCAAGGAAGCGAAGCGGCGTAACCCAAAGGTCACTGGGGTTGGGCACGCCTGTATGGCTCGGTCACACCTACTGGCGATACCGGGGCAAAACAGGCTCGATCCACAACGCCTAGATAGATCTCTGCTAAATCCTAAAAGCCCAGAGCCCGAGGAGCCCTTTTTCACACTGTTCTGTCCGACATCGGTCCGCTGCTTTGCGGCATCCTTGGCTTGCTTGGCCTCGGCCTTCAGCCGTGCGATGCGCTCCTGCGGACTTTTGGGGCCCTTCATGGTCTCTGTGGGAATTCGCGGCGTCTGTAAAGAGTCAAAGGCGTTGAGGGTGTAGGCTTTCTGGTATAGAGTTCGGTTCAGGACTTGATTTTTTAGGGGGTTGAGGTCGATGCTGTTGGGGTTCAGGCTGTCAGCTGCTTCAGAAATCTGAAACGCTTCTTCACCTGCTGAATCACTGAGCTGCGTTTCGATCCTAAACCTGCGATTCTATCCTGAACTGAACTACGACACCCTGCTCCACGAAAACTCTTCAACTCCAAAGCTTAAACCCTTGCAAACTGCAGACTTTACTTGTCAATCTGGGCGCCCATAATCCGAACCCCACGCCCCACAGCTTGAAGCTATGAGGCCACAAGTCCCGAAGCATCCAAAAACCCTGAACTTGCCAGAATCTTAACCCTACACTCCCAAGACCCAAAAGCCTGACTTGATGCCCTGAGCCCACAATCTCCCTCCCTGTCCTGCGCGGTCTCCCCTGGGACGGTTTCCGACGGCTCCGGTGAGGCCTTCGGCTTCGCCCAGCGGCCGCGTGCCTGCGGGCGAAGCTCACGGAACATTGCAAGAAGTACGACAATAAGACTATGACGCATAATAACAGTTCAGACCAGGCACTGCAGACAGAATCCAAAACAATCAACAAAGTCACAACTAAGAGTAGTCACGACAGCACTACGACCAAGAGGTCTTCTACCGGGTTTGTAGGGGTTTGCCAGCTTCTCGAAGGGGCGAGCACTAAGGTGAAACAACACTTTGCTGCGCGTCAGCTACTTATCTGAGCAAACCCTCAGACCCCAGATCCTCAACTCTAGGGCATCGGGCTTCTCAGGTTCAAGGTGTGACTGATGAGCTTCGACACGGGTGTTCCTGTTTCTGTGCTGGCTGCCGTCGTTGCACCCTAATTCCAAAACCTGCGAAGCCCAAAACCCTGAACCCTAATTCCAAAACCTGAAAAGCCCTGAACCCAAAACACGAGAAGCCTTAAACCCAAAACCCATTATTTCCCGGGCGCCTCCTTCTTCGGCGCCTCCGGTTCCGGCGCCTTCCGCGTTATGGCCGGGGGCTCCGGTGTCCTAGGCCTTTGGGCCTCCGGCGGTACCTCGGGCGGCCCCGAGGCCACTGTAGAGGGAGCCTCCAGCGCAGCCAGGCAGGCCTGCGGACTTGGGATTGCTCCGAGGTTTGGGAAGGATACAGAAGGATGACGCAAGCAGGGGATGAAGATAAATACCGCGACGCTGATGGGGGAGTTGAACAGAGCAAGTTCGAAGACGATGGAATACACGATAGGAAAGACGATGACAAAGACAGTGACTGCTCTGACCATGACGATGACAATGATGATGCTGGTGATGGCGGTGGTGGTGATGGTGATGGACATGGAGATGGTAAACGGTGGAAATGGTGATGGCGACTTCCGGTGATGTACCGACGAGATGGTGTTGCCACGGCAACTGCCCTACTTTGAATCAGGGGGCGAGCGAGGAGGGTTGCAAGACAGCGGAAAAATGCACCACATAACTCTGCCTACTTATGAGCAACTATGGCCCACCCTGCTAAGCAAATTGAGGGATCAACAGCACATGCTTGAGCACGTGTTTCCTAGAATCAAAGGGGTTGAGACATGGTCAAACACGACCCTCAAAACACAGAGTCCTCGACACCCGATGCATCAAGCCTCGGTCCTTCACCCTCCGTTCTTAAGCCCAAACCCGATGACGCCTCCACGTGCTGCTGGATCGTCTCCAGGGGGTATTGGCCCGCACAAACGGGGCAGGCCGCCAGCTCGGGCCCTTCGGGTGTTGCTGCATGCATCCGGTTTGGGTCGTGAACTAAGGCTAAGGCTCAGAGTCCATGGGATTTAGGGTTTAGCCGCCCTGAGTTTAGTGTCCAGCAATTAGCCCTTAACGTAGCAACAGGCGAACACAGAGGCGAACAGACCCGCGCAAACTTACAAGACATGGAAGCGTTGGGCTGCAAGATCTCTTCGCCTTCGTCGCTGCTGCCGGCGGTTCCGCCTGTTTCCGGAACCCAGGCCAGGGCCTCTTCGAGGGCTGCCAAGAAGGCCTCAGAAAGCGACGAAGGACGAGCTGTGTGTCTGTCTGTCTTTCCCTCCGTCCGTTCGTGCTCTCTAACTCTCTCTCACTCGTTTTCTCTCTCTATCTGTCTCTCTCTCTCTCTCTCTCTTTGCTTTGCTCGGGGTTTAGGGCAGGAGCAGTCCCTCTCTCTCTCTCTCTCTCTCTCTCTCTCTCTCTCTCTCTCTCTGTCTCTGTCTCTGTCTCTGTCTCTGTCTCTGTCTCTCTCTCTCTCGCTCTCGCTATGTCCTCTCTGTCTCCGTGTGTGCTTAGTTGCCGTTCAGGCACGGCATATGCCAGACCAGGAGATGCTTGAGGCCGGTGTTTTTTTTGAGGTTATAGTACAGGCCATCAAGTTTGGAGGATGAGCTAAGGATGATTAGTGCAGTATCTGCCTTTAATCTATATTCTGTAGTTAGGGTCTGAAGACGGTGATGTTCCAACTTTCTGGTTTCTGGTCTCGGACTTCGGGATTCGAGACTTGCATGGTTGACTGCCTGTGAGATGGGGGGACTACCAGTCAAGCCATCAGCCAGCGAAGGCGATGATGCTTCCGCGGAGGCAAGTTTGTCTTTGGCCTTCTCAAGTTTGAGATGGAAGATGTACTGCTGACGCCATGTAAGCCATGTATGTATTCACGCAGTGCACATGCATAGCTGATACAGTAGCTGCTGCCGAAGAAGCCTCCTGCACGCTTTTGCTTTGCACGTGGTGCTCGTAGATACACCAGAAAAACTCCGCAGCAGCCGGTGGGAGATCCAGCTGCAGCAAGCTTTCCAGGAGCTCGGCCGGCAGTTGGGAAAATTCAGAGCTTCCGGCGCCAGAAGGCGCGGACTCGACTCGCGGAGCTTCTTTAGGCACGGTTCGGAGGCACTGCTCCACGTGCTCTTCGAGCTCGCTCTGCGGAAAAGAGCGGCCGCAGATGGGGCAGTCTCCGTAGACCTCCTGGACTGCCTAAGACGCACAAGGGAGGGTGGGAGTTTCATGTGTGCTTAGAATACCCAGAGAAAGCACCGGAGCACTGCATCCTACCAGCATCGCAGGCATCATTGACCTCGACTCCGAACCCGCAAACTCATGTGAACGGGAAGGGCCTTTTCGGACAGTCAAGTTTCGGGCACCTTCTTCCGCCGACGCGATGTGATGGGCACTGCCGTATCCAGCAAGTTTGCTAGGGTGTACCGCGACGAGCGGCCGTTTGAAACCTTGGCTGTGGTCTCCACACAGTGCTGCTTTGAAATCAAACTTTCTCTGTTTGCGCCGCCTTCGGCTGGTTCTCATTCCTGCCATCACTGTCTCGCTGCGCCCTAGGCACGACGTACTGGGCCGCTTCAGGAGAGTCCCAGTCGTCCTCGTTGCCCAAATCTTCTGGCTGCGCTCGGGCAGTGAAGAAATCCACCTCAGGGCCACCCCTGAACCCGCAACAAAGCTTTGCTTGGATTCACATCATTAAACATCTCAAACCTTCATAATTGTTGAGGGGCTCTTGAGCTCGAGTTTTTAACTCAGGTTCCGTCAGCTTTCGAGTTCTCACAGTCTAGCAAACTCCCAGCCCTGTCAAGCAGACCGAAACACACGGGAGATGGCTCGCTAGACGTGAGCCCGGGGCCCCTTTTGAAAAAAATCCCCGCCCCCCCCCCCCCTTATTATGGAAACCCTAATCCCTACTAAACCCCCATAGGCTAAAACCCCTTTTGGCCTCCTATGACCCCCCCCCCTTTCCGGGCCTCCTCGCGCGCCTTGTCGATGTAGGAGTCCCGCCTCCAGTCCTCCGAGGGCAGCGGCCCGGGTTCGGCCCAGGGCTCGGGCTCGGGACGCTCGTGCTGGCGGAGGTGGAGCCTCGAGGGGTCTTGCGGCTTCGGGGTTTTAGGGTTTTAAGGGTTTAGGGGTTTAGGGTTTAGGAGTTTAGGGGTTTAGGGCTTTCGGGGTTTAGGGGTTCAGGGGTTTAGGGGTTCAGGGTTTCGGGGCTTAGGGGTTTAGGGGCAGACTTTCACAAAATGCAACTAGCCTCCATCACCTGCAGCGTGGTCACCAGCATGGTCTGGAGAGCACGGTCATTATGCTGGCGATCATCATCATTATCATCATCGCCACTACCGTCGCTATCAGCATCATCACCAACATCATCATCAGCGCTCTTGGGACCATAATGGCTCCTACCCTCCTGACTTAGAGCACATGTGTCGCTCCTTGGCTTTCTGCCTCGGGCTACAAACCACCACCACGAGAACCATCCCTTCTTAAAGGATCATGGGACTTAGTAACTAGGGTTATAACTAGGGCACGTATAACCCCAATTAAGGTACTTATAACCTTACATTCTAAGTCCCATGATCCTCCAAGTTGCCCCTGGCGAATCTGCAAGGCCAGGACACTGCAGCGTCCGGCGCATCGTGAATGTGGCACCACAGGTGGGACAAACCTTGCAAAACCAACTGCCCTTGAGTCTGGGGCAGGGCATACTTGTTGTGGGCCGGCACTGGCACTGCACGCCTCTTCATGTAACCAGAACTGGGGCAGAGCCCTCTTGAAAATTCAACCGAAAATCCCTTCTTCGCTTCCCAAGGCACCAGGGGATCTCTCTCGCGGAGCTGCACCGGCGCGGTCTGCGCACAGAAGGAAGCCTTCGGGGCGGCTCGACGCGCCGCCTCGGTCTGGGAGGCTGTCTTGAGTGTGTAGGGTTCAGAGCTTAAGGTTGAAGGTTTCGGTTTAGAGTTTTGAGTTTAGGGATTATGGGGATTTGCGGTTCTTGGAAGATGGGGTTATTGAGGAGTTTTAGAGTTTAGGGCTTGGGAATCGGGGTTGTGGGGATTGGGGCCTAGGCTTGCAGGTCATGGTGCTAGGATATGTTGGTGAACTGGCGGCATTCTTGGTAGAGGTTGGCTGTATATAATCTTCACATCTGTGGGTTGAGGGCTTCTTCAAAATTGCTTTGGGCCGAGTCACTTTTGACACGGGACGGAGGGGAGGGGCGGTGCCCATCCTAAACCCCAAGCCGAATGGAGGAATGAAGCCGACAAGATACTTGCAGCAACAACAAACAAATCAGACTCATACGCGGCACAACTTTGTTGTTGTGATATTAGAGCATCAAGTTGAACCCATCACCCATTCCGTACGGAGAGGGCCCCGAATGGCTGGGGGGCAACTCTATGCCATCGAATGTTTGAGTCTATACGCAGTGCAGCCGAGTGGCTTCTTGCGCAAGCTCCTGGAAGGGCAGCTTCAAGTAGACTTTAAATGGACTCCTTCTACCAATCCGAACCACCGAAGGTCCTTGCCACGTCCTGAATCCGAAGAGAACAGCTCCTGGGCCTAATACTCATCATCCCAGACATCCCGACGCCCTGAACCCTCTCCCGAACCCCAGTCCCCCTCCGTTTCCTGCGACTCTCAGCGTGCCCGCAAGCAAATCCCAAGCGCCGACAGTCGCATCCCAAACGCAGCCGATGCGATGCTTACGATCTAAGAACTCAAGAAGTGGGCCTAAGGAACAGGGCGTAGGAAATGAGGGTACAGGGTTTCACCTCGCGGTACGACAGGACGGCCACTCCCACTTCGGCAGCCATGCCAAGGCGTTGCCTGGGTGCTTCACAGGCCGCGCACGCTTGAGGCTTCGGATTCAGGGTGTCTTGCAGGTCGGACGAGGCTGAATGCGCCGGAAGTCGCGGGATTGTAGTGGATGTGAGAGGGGTATGGATTGGTTTGAAGATTCGCGTACAGGTCTGTGGGTTTGCAATACAGTACCTTGCTGCCAACTGATGAGGTATAGGATCCTGAAGCTACAACCAATTCGAAGTCTGGAACTCCCCAACAATCGTTCTCTGTGCAGGCATCGACTGCTCTGATACAGCACAGTACATACCACACATATGTCACAAAACTTAACCTGAAAATGCCTTTTTAATAGACCATATCTTGCTAACATAACGTAAAGTAGTGATACTTCTTGTAGGCCAGATCTTGGTAACTTAAAGTATAAAGCCCAGCAGTGCACTGAACTTCGATCCCAGCTTCAATCCGCTCAGGATCTTCGTCCCGGCCGCTCCTGGCGCAGCCCGGACCGGAACGAACCTGCTCAGAGGCCGAGGGCACTGAAAAACTGAGAGTTTTCAGCACAAGGGTCATCATTTCAACATGGCAGCATAGCATTTTAGAATTCAGGTTTATAGAGGGTCTATGATTATATCATCTTTATTCCTGAGACTGCTAGTATTTCCCTCAGCCCCGTCCGAAACCCCCCCTCTCCCGGCCTGTGCTTCCTTCTCCGTCAGTTTACAATTACTTCAAGGATCATGGGACTTAGTAACTAGGGTTATAGTTAGGGTAACTATGCTTAGAACCCCAATTAAGGTACGTATAACCTTACTTACTAAGTCCCATGATCCTCCAAGTACAACAAGTCAGCTTCGGAAAGACCTCGGAGCAGATCCCTGCAAGCCTCTCGTGCTCCAGGAAGGGGTCCAGCGAGTCCAGGTCCCACACGTCCAAGGAGGAGGGTGTGCGATCGCAGTGGCCGGAGCAGTAGATCCAGTACCTGATTTTGGGGTTGAGGTTAAGGCGGTTAAGGGCCGAGGACTTCGGGCTTGAGGTAGGGAGTGTTGCGAGAGGTTTTCAGCTTGGAGCTTTTTGGAGATTCAAGGCCGCGTGGCCTCCTGCTTGGAAACAAAGCATGAAGCCTGATGGATGGTTTACCTTCGAGCCTCGCGGCAACATCAGAACATTGGGTTTTCACGCATGCACGCATGCCATGACTTCTCTCTTTGTACGAAGCTCAGAACATAAAACCTACAGCTTAAACTCTCACCCTCTAAACCCGCAACCCTTAACCTTAAGCCCCCAGAGATCCTCTGAAGGATCCCTTCAACGAACCCTTTTAGGAACCCTACTTTAAAGGATCATGGGACTTTATAATTACATGTAACTATACTTATAACCCCAATGAAGGTACTTATAACCTTACTTACTAAGTCCCATGATCCTCCAAGTAGCGAACAAGCAGTATTAAGGTCCCTATACTAAACCCTTATAGTAACCCTTATATAGCCCCCTGTAAAGGAACCCTAAGCCCTAACTGTTGATGGACAAAATCCTGCATTACGCATTATAAGGAATATACCATAGTTCCCATAGTTTAGAGTCCTTAGGGTCATGCAGGATTTTGTCCATCAACAGAAGTATAGGAACCCTAGCGACTTGAGAGAAGGTGCCCGTGCCAGGCTCGGCAGGGAGCGTCCTCCGGGGGCTCCGGAGGCTCCAGGGCCGGTCCTGGAAGCCCTTCTTTTTGTTTTTTGGTGGTTTAGGATTTAGGGATTTTAAGGTTTTGGGGTTTAGGGTTTAGGGTTCAGGGTTTAGGGTTTAGAGTTTAGGGTTTAGGGTTTAGAGTTTAGGGTTTAGGGTGGAGGTGGAGGGTTCAGGGTTTGAGGCTTAAGGTTCAGGGATTCGAGTTTCGGGTTTATGAAGGATTTTGGTGCCTGTTGTTGTAGGGCGTGCCGTTTCGAGTTTCGGGCTTGGGTCGTAGGGATTCTGAATCGAGTTTGGGGGCAGAGGAATTCGTCGTATAGCTTCAGTTCTGAGGGTTTTGGGGGTCTGTGGATTTGGGATGTTGGGGTTTAAAATTTGTTTTTCGCTTTAGAATTGTTGTGGCTTTTGGGTTCTGCGGGTTTCGGCTTCGGGATTTGGGGTTTGGGGTTCTGGGGTCGTCCTGCGCGATGTCGCTCCTTCCGCTCTTTGCGCGTCCCCTCCTCCTCCTCCTTGAGGAAGGCATCGTAGCCTTGGCCGGATCTTTTGTTACAGCGGTTCAAGGAATATAGGGTTCAGGGCAGCAGCTCACGTTCGTTGTTTGAAGCTTCTGTCTTTCGGATATTTGCATGCCCCCAAAGCTGTGGGACTGCGAAAGCAAGTGGCCACAGCTGCGTTCCACAACGGTGGCTGGTGCCGGGGCTTTGGCGCCGGTGGGACCTCTCAGGCAGCCCAGCTGGGTCAGTGCCTGCGCCACACGCTCCACCTGAGCTGCTAAAGCTTTGGTGCCGGGGTGGAGTGCTTTGTGGTCCAAAGCTTTAGTCACCGTGTGCCACACTTAAGAATGAAAGAATGAAACAGAGACAGAGAGAGCTACAGACAGGAGGTTGAGTGCAGGTTTCGGGTTCAACAAAATCACAGCACTTGTCCGAATCCGCCTGCTCCCCTTGCACTTCCACGTCTGCCAGTGCACCCTTTGCGTGCACGGTCCCACCGACGCCCAGCAGAGTCGTCAGTGCGGTGCAGAGTGCCCTGGCATTGCCCCTCACACCGCTGATGACCTCAAGGCACAGAGACCCTCAAAAAGTGAAAGGATAATGACACCAAAAACTATCCTAAACTTAAACCCGAAACGGCCGAAAACCCTAAAACGTAAATTAAATCCTAAACCAGACCCTCGAGGCACCGTCACCCGCTTGCCTTTGGCCCGGCGCTCCACGAGCAGAGGCGGCTGGCCCCCCTTGTCCGCGAAGACCGCGAAGCCACAGGACGGGAGGCCACCAGCTTTGGCCATGTTGCGGGCTTGTGCTTTGTGTCTATCCGACGATGCTTTCGGGGGTGGACGAGTGGAAGGTTTGCGGTTCGAGGTTGTGGGTCGCGCTGGATGGAGAGCTTGCGGTGTGGCGAGGTTCGGGCTTGGCAGCCGAGGTTTGCTTTGGCGACATGTGGGCTTTTGAGCGGTTTCAGGGGGTGAGGGGAAGGTGCTCAGGGTTAGGGTCTGGCTTCAGGGGGCGTGGCGAAGTGTGCAGGGTGCATGACACAGGGTAGCAACATCCGACTAGTTGAGCATATCTGAAGCTTCGGGCTTCGTGGAGATTCGCACATGGATGTTCCACAGCTGCTGTCAACTTCATCTGGCTCATGTGCGCTGTGACCCTTTGACTGAGCTGAAATCTCAGTCTTCCATGCATTCTCTATGCTGCAGTTGCATGGCGGAGCATGTGCTCAGCTGTTGTGGTGGGGATGCTGGGAACCCGTGCAGAGCCTCCCCAAACAACAAGGAACAAAAGCCATCAATCAAAAGGCCGAACAACCTTCGCAACACCCGTACAGCACCATCCAACACTGCTGCACCATAAGCCCCAAGCCCAAGAGCTCCCAGAAACCTGGAGAACCCGTATAAACACCTCGTATAGCCCGTACTGAATCCCTATCTCCAGTTGGACCCCCTTAAGCTTCAGAGCTCAGGTCATGCCCTGGAGTCGAGTGTGAGTGTTTTGTTTGAGGCTCGTGGCTCAGAGGTTGAGACTTTCAGTCTTGGGGTGAGATAAAGCCTTGGCCCTGGAGCTTAGAGTCCAAGAGTTCGTTTGTTTCGGGAATGGGTGTATCATCTGAGTGTACGCTTCAGGGTGCGCGCCTCTTTACTCGGCATGCACAGGTCGATTCGTTGCGAAGCGTGACTACATTGCTGCGTTGCCGCACAGGCATAAGACACCACTATGTCTGAGATGAGAGAATGACATGATTCTGAGTGCAGTTGCCTGCCGATCCCGAGAGCAACAGGTGGCGCGTCGGCATCCACAGCGGAACCGCAAACGCTGCCAATCGAAGCATTTCTCCGTCGCAGGAGAAGCTAAGCTGTTCAGTGTTTAGTCCTCTTCGACTGACGCGCGCCTTCCTCACAGGCCTCGCTCTCGACAGTACGTCTCGAGCGGCCGCGAAAGGCCGCTAAATCGGCTTCTGCTGGCACTCAGCCAGCATCTAGTCTCTTGTCTCCCGCGCCTCGCTGGCACTGTGCATGTTTCAAAGTCGAGAGCCGAGGCGCTGCTCGGCTCTCGGGACTAATGACTAGAGCGATTGCTCGCCCTTGGGGGATGACCCGCTGGCGTCTAATCTAGCCAGGGGCCTTTGGCACCTGGGCCCCTTCTGGCCCCTGGTGCTGGAGCTTGAAATACTTGGACTTTGGCACTCTGCCTCCTCGGCACTCTGCCTCGCAGTCCTGATAGTCGGCTGTGTACTTCAAGCGGAATTCGGATGTCAGGAACCTTCAAAAGCTGAGTAAGCGTCAAATCCGGGGTATGTCTATGTCTTTCAGCACTGCTCCAACACCGTCTCTTGCAAACGGATGTCCCGAAAGCGCTGTGGACTTCTGCACTTCTGCTTCCGAGCCAGCTCACATCTGCTTTCCATCTAACTGCTGTGATCAGTACACCCACTTTTCCATGCTTGTCCACAACGCCAGGGCTGAGAAGCACGGCCCACGAGGATCCTACGCTCGGATGCATCGGGCAACTGACTGCCTCCCCACATTTTCGCAAGACAGCGTCCGTGTGATTCGGCAGACACGCCACTCCCCGGTTTAGGAAGGCTTCGAAAAAAACGGTTCATCACTCCACGTCTCCCTTCGCATACTTGCAAACTGCTCCTTCCGGCACCCCAGTCACAAGCGGTCGACGGTTCCACCCACACCGGGCAATCACCGCCGATCTCAGGATCTATTACCTATTCGCATCTCGAGGATCCTCGTGTTTTCGCGCCTTTTTGTACACTGAAAGGCCGACTCAGGGCGCACATCGCCTCGGCAAAGGCGCTTAGATATGCTTACGAAGAAGACTTGCAGTCGTGCCAGATCAACAGGTCGTCAAGGCTCTAGAACTTTAATCCTAAAGCTCTGTGTGCGGCTGCGAGGCCCGAGAAAGGCTTGGTTGAACTCCGTTAGGTCCAAACCGAGGTCGTGGTCCTCCGTTTCAGAGTCTTGACTTCGGACTTCAAGTTAACGACTCAGGGTTGCAAGTCTGCCCGGGTTTCCGGTAGCAAGGTCTGGCAAGGAACTGGGGCAACAAAGGGTGAAGACGGCACAAAGTGGCTGATGTAGTTGGGAGAAGCTGCAAAGCCGTTGAGGGTATAGGGAATAGCGAGCAACCACCAAGTTGATATATGGGCCTCAAAGATTCGAACAAACTT